CTGTCTTTATTCAGGCTGAGAGCACAAACGAAACAACAGCTTTTGGAATATAAATCAATGATCGATGCAAGTAAGTATTTTCATTTTCAGATAAGGTTTTGTGAGTTTAATGATGAACAGTAATTTGGGGAAAAGAAAATCAACTTTACAAAAAATTATTTATTTAGGGAATGGGAGTGGCAGCTTAATGCAGTACTATACCACTTAAGACAAAGAGCAGGCTTGAGCCCTAGCCCTCAGGAACTGTTAGGGATTCAGGAAATAGATAAAAAACAACTAACTAACAATGCAAGACAATTAAGTTCTATCAGAATCGGGAAATCCCTGTGGGTTGAAGAATCATAGAACTTGCAGTCATCAACAACTTGAAAATTAAATTAGCAAATCAGGTAATTATTAAGAAAGTTATCTGAGACCTCTACTTTGAGGAACACTGTAGTGTAGGAATAAATCACAGAAGGGATATAAGCTTAAAGACATAAATGAAAATTTTCAATTCTAAACAGAAAAAGTTAAATTTTATCTTTTAAAATTATTAATCCAGAAGTCTCAGGGACTAAAAGAGTAGTGAAATAATGGGTTTAGCCCTTCTAAATAATAACCACCTACTGCCACCTGATATATAAGCCCTTAGGTCACAAAGATAAGTTTCGGTGATTCTTTATTTCTCTGTGAATTATGCTTAAAAATAAAACCATGTAATATGTTAGGTTGAATCAAGAATTGTGGAAAAACTGAGTTGCCTCATAAATGTCTTAGTCACTTAACTGAACCCATGTGATTTTCAGACTCACCCTACAGAGAAACCTGATGCCTGTTCATAGTCACTCCCAATGTGTGTGGCTACTTTGGCATAGTGTAGTATTTTTGTGATTCATTTGTGTTGTTTATTTCAGTAATTCATTCCTTTTTGTGGCATATATTTCATGATGACTATACTACAGTTTGTTTATCCATGCACCTATTGAGGGACATTGAATTGTTGGCCGCTTTTGCTCATTATAAAAAAAGCTGCTGTGGACATCTGTCATTTGGACGTGTCTTTTCATAGACTTTATTTTTTTCATTTCTCTTGGTTAAATACCTAAAAGTGAAATTACAAGTCATATGGGAAGTACATGTTTAACTTTTTAAGAAACTACAAAACAGCTAAAATCGTTATACCATTGCAGTACATTCCCTCCAGCAGTGAATGAAATTTCCACCTCTCAAATATCCACTCCAAAACTTGGTACTGTCAGTCTTTTTAAATTTTAGCCATTCTAATAAGTACTAGTTGTATCAGATGGTTTTAATTTACATTTTCCTGATAACTAATGATGTTTAGTATCTTTTCATAGGCCTCTTGGCAATTTATAAGTCTACTTTTATGAAGTAAAAGTTCAAATTTTTGACCATTTCTTAACTGTTAATCTTGCTGAGTTTAAGAGTTTTTTGTTTATAAATTAATACAATCCTTTTTCAGATATATTTACCTGGCAGACATTCTTTCCTACTTTGTTGCTTGCCTTTTTATTAACTGTCTTTTGAGGACCAGAAGGCGTTAATTTTGATGAAGTGTTTTGTCACTTTTTTTCTTTTGTAGTTTGTGATTTTTGAGTCCTATTTAAGAAATTGTGATATTCCAAGGTCACAAAGATTTTCCCCTATGTTTTGTTCTAGAAGGTTTATGGTTTTAGTTTTAACATTCAGGTCTGTGATCCTTTTTGAGTTAATTTCTGTGTTTTTTTTTAAGCTAAGGGTTAAGGTTCATTTTTTTCCATATGNTCTCCATTTTTTTTGTGTGGGTCTGTTTCTTGGCTCTGTGCCCTGTTTTCTTGAGGTTTTTATCTATACTTAAAATAATACCATCTTATCTCAGTTACGATATCAGCTGTAAGTACTCCCTAACTTTGTTCTGCTTTGTCAGAATTATTTTGACTGTTATAGATCCTTTATGTTTCTATATGCATTTTAAAATCAGCTTGTCAATTTCCACAGGAAAAGAAAACAGAATTTTTGACTGGAATTTGATTAGGATAGTATTCTCCTGATACTTGTACATGGTATATCTTTCCATTTTGATATTTGCTAGTGTTCAGTGTAAAGGTCATATGCATATTCTGTTAAATTTATCCTGAAGCATTTCTCATGTTTTGAATGCAGTAATACGTGGTATTTTTAAATTTTAATTTCCAGGCTAATATATATAGACAGACAGTTGGGTTTGTTTTGACAGTAATCTTGTTCATTAATTGCTCCCTTTTATTTTCTATCGTTCTGTAACTACTCTGTTCAGTATGGTAGCCACTAGATCCACTTGACTATTGAACACTTGAAATGTGGTTAGTCTTCGTTAAGAAGGGCTGTCAATGACAACATGGATGGAGCTAGAGGGTATTATGTTCAGTGAAGTAAGCCAGGTGGAGAAAGACAAGTACCAAATGATTTCACTCCTTTGTGGAGTATAACAACAAAGCAAAACTGAAGGGACAAAGCAGCAGCAGAATCACAGACTCCAAGAAGGGACTAGTGGTTACGAAAGGGAAGGGGTTGGGGAGGATGAGTGGGAGGATAGAAGGGGATTAAGGAACATTGTGATTAGTACACATAATGTAGGTGGGTCACAGGGAAGGCAGTATAGACAGAGTAGACAAGTAGTGACTCTAGCATCTTACTACACTGATGGACAGTGACTGAAATGGCATGAGGAGAGACTTGATAACATGGGTGAATGTTGAAACCACAATTTTGCTCATGTGAAACCTTCATAAGATTGTATATCATACCTTAATAAAAAAGGGGGGGGGCTGTCGATGTAAAATATCCACAGAAGAAAAGATTGTGAAATATTTCATTAGTAATTTTAAATTAATTACATTTTGAAATGATAATGTTTTGAATCTGTTAGATTAGATAAACTATCTTAAAATCATCTTGTTTCTTTTCTAATGTGGAAACTAGAAATTGAGAATTATATATTTGGTTTGCATTTTTGGTTTACATTATGTTTCTGATAGCACTGTTCTAAAATTATACAAATTATTAATTTGTAGATGAAGAAAAAACTCCAGAACAAATCATGCAAGAAAAGCAGATTGAAGCGTATGTCATATTTTAAGCTTTTATTTGTGGTTCTAATTAAGATGTAAATCATATTTTCCATTTGATAATATCTTTCTTCTTTTTTTCTCAAGTAATTTATGATGAATGTATTGAGAAGTTGTTGGTATGGGATATAGACTTACATGTATGTACATGAAAGATAACACTTTTGGCATCCCCCCTTAACAAGATACTTAGCAAAAAGTACCTTAGGAGGCATCAGTTTACCAAATCTGTAAATGCATTGGTGTGGTGAGCCTTTAGAATACTTCTACTTAGATAGAGGCATTTCACTTTTTTCAAAGGTTTATATATTTATTGCAATAGTGACTTCTTCTGATGCTGCTAAAATCTTTTGTTCATGCTTTTTTGATAGTAAAATTGAAGACCTGGAAAATGAAATTGAAGAGGTGAAAATTGCTTTTGAAATGAAAAAGTTTACATTAGACAGGTAATTATTACACTTTAGGTATAAGCATTGTGAACTGAATGAAAATGGGTATGATATGAGGCAGAGGGAATATTATAACTGGTCTAAATGAATTAATCAAGCAAAATGATGGTTAGATAATGTCACACAAATTTTGAACCCTGAGAGAAAAGTTACATCATTGTTATCTTAATTTGAAAAAGTTACATTAGAAAGTTTAATAAGGAAATGCCCATCCAGACAATAGAAGTGTGAGGTCAAATCTCTTTTGGTGTTTGAAAGAATTACATGGATTCATTTATTCCAGTAGCTCTTAATTTAGTTGAAGAATTGTCATTGAGTCAAATATATTTTCAATTATAGGTTTTGCATCTGTATTTTAAAATTTATTCAACAAATAGGCGAGTGCTCACCATGTCCTAAGATTTCTGCTAGGTCCTGGTATATAACTGTTAATAAGACACATGGTCTCTGTGGTCTGCATTAATAGCCTCACTTAAGTGAATGAGTCATAAATTACTTCCTTGTATTTCTGGACTTCCCAGATGAATTTCATCACATATTTAATTGAAAATAGTTAAAGATCTTTTAATTGGTTCTAGCAATGAACTTTTATCCCTCATCTCATATGTTGGCTCATATAGATCATATTTTTTAACTAAGGTGACTTCAGAGCTATTATTTCTTTTTAATGAAGCAGATTTTTTGTGTGTGGCAGAGGGGAAGAAATGACTAATGCTGCTGAGTTGATTCCCCTTTTATTATTACTTATTAGCTATTGAATTTAGTAGCAATTTTTTAAAGTTTACAGTCAGGTATGGCTTTGTATTCCCCTAACTATCCACATCAGGCCTGTTCTGATCTCTGTAGTGCCTTAATGTTTAATGCTTCCTTCCAGGCATGCACCAAGATAGAGGGCTTGGAGAGCAAAGCTCGGGCTGGATTTCAGGTCTTCTCCACCCCACAGCCTGCCAATGTAGAGCCACAAGCAACAGCCCTATCTATCTTGGTGTTATTTCATATTTCTGGGACTTCTTTATCAAAGATTTTCCCATACAGCACTTAAAAACCTGCTGATGTTTTATGTTATACTGAATAAAAATCAATCCTGTCATTTAAAAATTTCCTTTTCAATGTATTATTATAAATGTTATCCATGTTTTATAACATACTTTTTTCTCTCACAGGATGCAACTTTCAACTGCACTTAAAAAATATCTGGAGAAAATTAACACCAAGAATAAGTAGGTACTTTTTTATTTTTCTGGATTTGGTATGGATGGGAGTAAGAAGGATATATGCAGAATGACTATAAGTTTCAATTTTTTTTTTTTTTAAATCAACTGTCACTGCCAACCACCTTTGTCCGGAGAATAAGAAGGTGTTGGAGTTTTTATAGGCCCTTCTTAAAATTGCAACAACGTATATAGTTCTGCTGGCATCTCATTTGTATTGCAAACCTTAGAAGCAATGGAAATATTTTTTATATCTAAAAAATACTGAAGTTTAAATTTTAACAATTTTAAAAGTTAAAAGCTAACTTTTGTTTAGTACTCACTAAAAAACAAAAGCAGTTTTACCTCTTTTAATCCAGCGATAACCCAGTGACGTAGGAGGTATACTCATTTTTCAGTGACTGAAATGAGCTTAGGTATGTTGAACAATTTGCCAAGGATTAGAAAATAAAGACTCTGGCAGTCAAGGTCCTCTGTATTCTGGTCCTAAGTATCTGGGCTCAGGGTCCTTACCTGTAATCTTATCTCCCAAAACTTTAAAAATGTCATGATAAAAAAAAAATCCCCTACCATTAGCCCCAGAAAAGTGTGAAGATAGATCTAGGCACCTCCCCAGTCTTAGTCCAGACTGATAGGCATTCTCCCCATTTTCCACTTAACTCCAGGATTATATAAATTCTAAAATCTGAGTTTGGGCTAACTATTGCTCCCCCACAAAAGGAGAGCTTAAAACATTCTTGAGATAAAGGGGTACAGGACAGAGTCATCATATTGACACCCAAAGACAACAGAAAGGCTGAGGCAATATCCTTTAGCATGTTTTAAAGTTTAGAGCCAAGTACAGCTGGAACTAGTAGAAAATGAGTTCAGCTCTCCTAGGTCTGTACAAAGATTCCTCCTTTTTAGTCTCCCCAGTAAATTCCTTCTACATTGTTTCTCATGCTTGGCTGATTATCATAATACTTAGTATCACAGTGATCACATTGCTAGTCCCATCCCACACTATACTGAGTGAGAATCTCTGAAGGGGTGGGGTGGAGCTGGTAATACACATTTAACAAGCCTCCCAAGTGATTGTGGCACTTAGAAGTATGAGAACTTCTGTTCTTTCTCAGTCTTATTGCACACTCTTCTGCTCCAGCCATACCAGACTATTTAATCTGGGTAATTACTTCACATTCATTAAGATTCAAGGGTTTCCCTTGTTCCACTCTGTGCACAACTTTCAGTGGTTCATATCCATTACTGTTTGTAATGAAACTATACTGTGGTTGTGGATTTGTTTTTCTCATCCACCAGATTCTTTCCTCCTTGAAAACAAGAACTATGTGTACTCTGTTTTACATTCCTGATACCTGGCACAGTTCTTCGCCTATACTAGGAACTCAGAAATATTTGTTGGAGAAATGGGGATTAAAAAGTAGTTTATTCATTGAAACTATCCTGTACGATACTATAATGGTAAATACATGTCATTATCCATCTGTCAAAATCCATAGAATATACATCACCAAGAGTGAACCCCAATGTGGACTATGGACTTTGGATGATAATGAGATGTCAGATGTAGGTTCTTTTGTAACAAATGGACCAGTCTGGTGGGGAATGCTGATGGTGGGAAAGGCTGTGCATATGTAGGGGTAGTGGGTATATGGGCTTACCTTCCAATCAGTTTTGGTGTGAACCTAAAACTGTCCCAGAAAATAAAGTCTATTTTAAGAAAAACCATCTTATTAGCAAGTTATTAGGGCATTTTTCTACCTAAATATAGATTTTTAGAAATGTTTCTACATGGTTAAATTTGACATTGATGAAATATTTCTAAACAGAAATTTCATTTACATCAGACTTTTCTGGATTTATTTTGTTAAATGATTGCTTTTATTGAAGTGAAGTGTACAGAGAATTGAATGAAAGTAAACATATACTAATTCATGCCTTTATTAGTGAGAGCTATTATCTTTGACTAAGGTTAACAAGCCATTATTTTTTTTTCCTTTTTAGTGTCCTCGTGGATAACATGGAACATGTATTAAAGCTAAATAAATTAGTAATGAAATCACAGCAGGTAACTTCACACTTTGGGCTGCTTATGCATTCTCATGATTTCAGTAACACTTCCTTGCTCATAACAGTATTGTATATGGTTAAATAGAATTACCCAAAGGGAGTGGTTTGAACTCATGGACCTCAAGTTTTCTTTTTCAAAATTCCAGTATTTCTGATGAACTGTGGTAATTACCTACTTAACATTTAAGTGACTGTCCTCTCTCTCTTTTTTTTATTATTTTGGATTTTTTTAAGGTATCATTGATACACAATTTTATGCTCGGGTGTCACGTGAGGAACATTGTGGTTACTACATTCCCCCTATTATCAAGCCCTCACCACATACCCCATTACAGTCACTGTCCATCAGCATACTTAGATGCTGTAGAGTCACTATTTCTCTTCTCTGTGCTATACTTCCTTCGCCATGCTCCCCCATATTATGTGCACTAATCATAATACCCCTCGATCCCCTTCTCCCTCCCCTTTGGTACCCACTAGTCCCTTCTTGGAGTCTGTGATTCTGCTGCTGTTTTGTTCCTTCAGTTTTGCTTTGTTGTTATGCTCCACAAATGAGGGACATCATTTGGTACTTGTCTTTCTCCACCTGGCTTATTTCACTGAGCATAATACCCTCTAGCTCCATCCATGTTGTTGCAAATAGTAAGATCTGTTTTCTTTTTAAGGCTGAATCATATTCCATTGTGGATATGTACCAACCTCTTCTTTATCCATTCACCTACTGATGGACACATACGTTGCTTCTATTTCTTGGCTGTTGTAAATAGTGCTGCGATTAACACAGGGGTGCATCTGTCTTTTTCAAACTGGGCTGCTGCATTCTTAGGGTAAATTCCTAGGAGTGGAATTCCTGGGTCAAATGGTATTTCTATTTTGAGTTTTTTGAGGAATCTCCATACTGCTTTCCATAATGGCTGAACTAATTTACATTCCCACCACCAGTGTAGGAGGGTTCCCCATTCTCCTCATCCTCACCAACATTTGCTGCTGTTTATCTTTTGGATATTGGGCATCCTAACTGGTGTTAGGTGATCTCTCACTGTGGTTTTAATTTGTGTTTCTCTGATGATTAGCTAAGTGGAGCATATTTTTCATGTGCCTGTTGGCCATCTGAATTTCTTCTCTGGAGAACTGTCTGTTCAGATCCTCTGCCCATTTTTTATTCAGGTTACTTGCCTCTTTGTTCTTGAGGTGTGTGAGATCTTTATATATTTTGGATTTTAACCCCTTATCAGATATGTCATTTATGAATATATTATCCTATACTGTAGGATGTCTTTTTTTTTTATATCATTACTGTATAATTACTGAAACAACATTATGGTTACTAGACTCCCCCTATTATCAAGTCCCTCCCACATACCCCATTACAGTCACTGTCCATCAGCGTAGTAAGATGCTATAGAATCACTACTTGTCTTCTCTGTATATACTGCCTTTCCCATGTACCCCCCACCCCCACTACATTATGTGTGCTAATCATAATGCCCCCTTTTTCCCCTTATCCCTCCCTTCCCACTCATCCTCCCGAGTCCCTTTCCCTTTGGTAACTGTTAGTCCGTTCTTAGGTTCTGTGATTCTGCTGCTGTTTTGTTCCTTCAGTTTTTGCTTTGTTCTTATACTCCACATATGAGTGAAATCATTTGATTCTTCTCTTTCTCTGCCTGGCTTATTTCACTGAGCATAATACCCTCTAGCTCCATCCATGGTAGGATTTGCTTTCTTCTTATGGCTGAATAATATTCCATAGTGCATATGTACTACCTCTTCTTTATCCATTCATCTACTGATGGACACTTAGGTTGCTTCCATTTCTTGGCTATTGTAAATAGTGCTGCGATAAACATAGGGGTGCATATGTCCTTTTCAAATTGGGCTGCTGCATTCTTAGGGTAAATTCCTAGGAGTGGAATTCCTGGGTCAAATG